CCAGAAAACCAGAAGTGGCGCTGCAGCTCAAGTGGTAGAGCGCTCGCCTTGAGCTGAAGAGCTGAGGGACAGCGCCCAGGCCCAGAGTTCAAGACCCAGGACCTACCAAAAAAAAAAAAAAAGTCTTAAGGACTTTCCTGGCCAGGCTGGCTTCTAAATGCGATTCTCAGATCTCAGCCTCCTTAGTACCTAGGATTACAGACGTGAGCCACCAGCGCCAGCTTCATTTCATTTTTGAGAAAGATTTGAGAGTCCTTTCTTACATTTTCATTCCCACCAGCAGTGTGCACCAGGTAGATTGATTTCTCCCTGAGAACACGTTAGAGCGCTTGCCTTGCATGCCTGAGGCCCTGGGTTCGATTCCTCAGCACATAAGCAAAAAGAAAAAAGCTGGAAGTGGCACTGTGGCTCAAGTGTAGAGCGCTTTACTTGAGCTGAAGAGCTGAGGGACAGCATCCAGACCCAGAGTTCAGGCCCCACGACCAGATCCCCCCCCCTCAAAAAAAAAAAAGCTTGGTGTTAATTGGTCTGCATGTGGAAATCTGATCTCCCCCACCCCACTTTACCCTTTCCTTTTCAGGAGAGATTCTACTCTATCCCATTTTGTCTTTTTGGCACCTTGTCAGAAATCATGTGACCTGAATGCAAGGGCTTATTTCCTTGTTCTTTGTTGCATTAGTCTGTATGTCTTTATGCTGTAGTGGTTAGTAAGTTTTACAGATTTATTCATAACTTTTAGAAGTCCTTTTGTCTACTTTAAATAATTTTATTTTCTATTTAACTGCTCCCTTCATTACTTTTATTGTTCCTTATTTATGAAAGGTGCTTAAGTATAGAAACTTATCCAAAGCATTGCTTTTAAAAATTTTCCAATAATGTTTGGAGGTAAGAAGATTGTTGTTTATTATTCTTCGTAATTTTATTCACTTGGGGGGCATCAAAGGCCTTGTTTTTTGAGCTTTCTCTTCTCAAGAGGTTTCTGAGAGTTCCTTTCTTCAATAAAACACAACCATTTTCATAACTCTTCCCCTCTTCCTACTTTGTAAGATAGAGAATTTAAAATCCATTTGCTATATTGAATCTTTAGTGATGTGTCCTAATTTCCCTTTATTCTTTCCTTTTTTCCTAATTCTCAAATATGAAAAAATTGTGTTAAAAGCACTCATCATTGTGATTTTGAAATTTCTATTTCTTGTGCTCCTTGCTTTGTGTATTCCAGCTCTATTACTATGTAACTACAAATTTGACTATTTTATCTTGGATATTACTGACATTTTCCTGCATATATACCGATCATTTTTATCCTTTTTGTCATCCCCTTGCCTATTAGTCATGTTAATTGGAGGTCTGTAGCTACCTTTTCAAACAGAGTCTGACTTGGTCACCCAAGTCATCCTTGAACTGTGGTCCTCCTGTTTCAACTCCCCGAATTCCTGGTTTGCAGGTATGTGTTACCAGGGGTGACACTTGTAAACAGTATTTCCTGTTCCTTTTTATTCAAAATAACATCATGTGCTTTATGTTTAAATTTGCAGTAATCTCACGTAGTTTTTATTTTTCTTCCCTAATTAAATTGTTGTGTTCCTCTCGTGCTTCACCCTACTTCCTGATTTATTTATCTTAAAATCTTTACCAGTACCGTTTTTTTAGACAGTCTTGTTATATTGCCCAGGCTGACTTTGAAACTCGTACATAGCTCAAACTGGCCTCAAACTCACAAGTTTGCCTGCTCTACCTCTGTAGTGCTGAGATTCCAGACAGAGGTCTATGCTGCCATTTGGTGCTGTGCATTAGACTCAGTGCCTCACACTCTCCCTTTTTTTTTTTTTTTGGTCGGTCGTGGGGCCTGAACTCTGGGCCTGGGTGCTGTCCCTCAGCTCTTGAGCTCAAGTAAAGTGCTCTACACTTGAGCCACAGAGCTACTTCCAGCTTTTTCTGCTTATGTGGTGCTGAGGAATAGAACCCAGGGCCTCATGCATGTGAGGCAAGCACTCTACCACTGAGCCACCTTCCCTATCCCAACAAGTATTTGTGTGTGTGTGTGTGTGTGTGTGTGTGTGTGTGTGTCTGTCTGTCTGTCTCTGTCTGTCTGTCTGTCATGGGGCCTGAACTCTGAGCTTGGGTACTGTCCCTCAGCTCTTCAGCTTAAGGCTAGTGCCCTATCACTAGAGCCATAGCACCATGTCCAGCTTTTTCTGCTTATGTGGTGCTGAGGAATCAAACCCAGGGCCTCATGCATGCAAGGCAAGCACTCCACCACTGAGTCACCTTCCCAGCCCCTCACTTGGTGTTTTGCTCAAGGTTGGCAGTCTGTCACTTGATCTACACCTCCACTTACAACGTTTTGCTGTTTAATTGGAAATAAAAGTTTCATGGACTTTTCTGCCTAGGCTGACTTCAAACGGCGGAGATCCTCAGATCTCAAGGCCTTCTGAGTAGCTAAGATTATAGGCATGAGCAACCAACTCTTGGCTTATATCCATCGTTCTATTGGTTGAGTTGGGGTACCACAGTCTTTACCTCGCAAGTAGCTAGGATTACAGGTGTCATCTACCATCCCTCTCACAATTTTCTATGTCAGCGGTTAGTGTCAAAGTCCCATGCAGATCAAAATAAGGTCTAGTTTTTTTGTTTTGTTGGTTGTAGTCTGGAACTCTGGGGTCTGGGCACTGTCCCGAAGCTCTTCAGCTCAAGGCTAGTGCTCTACCATTTGAGCCACAGTGCCACTTCTGGTTTTTTGGTGGTTAATTAGAGATAAAAGTCTCACAGACTTTCTTACCCCAGCTGGCTTTGAACCGAGATCCTCAGATTTCAGCCTCCTGAGTAGATAAGATTATAGGCGTGAGCTGCCAGCACCCAGCTAAGTTCTAATTTTGAAGGCTAATGTTTTATTATAAATAGAATAGCTGGGCTCCGGTGGCTCATACCTATAATCCTAGTTACTCAGGAGGCTGAGATCTGAGGATCAGGGTCAACTGACCACTAGAAAACCGGAATTGGTACTGTGGCTCAACTGGTAGAAAGCTAGTCTTGAGCTTAAAGAGCTCAGGAACAGTCACCCAGGCCCAGTGTTCAAGCCCCACAACAAAAAAGAAAAAGTAGTTCATAAGCCAGGTGCCAGTGGCTCATACCTGTAATCCTAGGGCTGGGAAGGTGGCTCAGTGATAGAGCACTTGCCTTGCATGCTTAAGGCCCTGGGTTCGATTCCTCAGCACCACATAAGAAAAAAGCCGGAAGTGGCGCTGTGGCTCAAGTGGTAGAGCGCTAGTCTTGAGCTGAAGAGCTGAGGGACAGCGCCCAGGCTCAGAGTTCAGGCCCACGACTGGACCCCCCCCCCAAAAAAAAAATACCTGTAATCCTAGCTACTTAGGAAACTAACATGAGGATTGAAGTTTGAAACCACCATGGGGTAAAAAAATCCTTGTGAGACTCTTATCTCCAACTAACTAAAAAACTGGAAGTGGCGCTGTGGCTCAGCGGTAGAGCACTAGCCTTGAGCACAAAGAGGCTCAGGGACAGCATTCAGTCCCTTAGTTCAAGCTCTACAATCTACATACATACATACATACATACAGTTCATAGACTTTCCTGCTCAGGCTGGCTTTGAACCTTAGCCTCCTAAATAGTTAGGATTATTGGAAGGAGCCACCAGCACCCTAGTGTGAGACTTGATTTCCAATTAATTATCCCCCGCACCTCCAAAAAATAAACAGAAGTAGAGCTATAGCTCAAGTGATAGAATGCCAGCCTTGAGTGAAAAAGCTAAAAAAAGAATGCCCAGGCCTGAGTTCAAGTCCTAGTACCTGCACAAAAAATAAATGAGTTAATAAATAAATGAATAAATAACATTGCTAGAAAGTAAAGATGTTAAAGGTTGTAATCCCACATTACCACATGGCTTCTCCATACTTTTGTCTAACTTGACTTCTCTCTCACTCTCTATCTCTGTCTTTCTCTGTATTGGAGTTTGATATCTTCTACATCTGAATTATGCCTCCAGTTCTCTTCTTCTTTCCTTTTCTCCCTCCCCTTTTTCTCCTCTTCCTTCTCCTCCTCTCCATTCCCTCCTTCCTTCCCTCCCTCCACTTCCCTTTTCTCCCTGCCCTGTCCTCCCTCTCTCCCTTCCCTTTCCTTCCCTTCCTCCCTCCCTTCCTTTATTCCTTTGTTGTTGGTGGTTGTTTATTGTCCCTGAGCTCTTTTGCTCAAGGTTGCTCAAGGCTAGTGCTCTACCACTTTGAGCCACATCGCCACTTCCAGTTTTCTGGGGGTTAATTGGAGATGAGTGTCTTTTGGACTTGTATTCCTGGGCTGGCTTGGAACCACAATCCTCAGATCTTAGTCTGCTGAGTAGCTAGAATTACAGGCGTGAGCCACCAGCACCCTTTCTTCCTTTTTGAAGCAGTGTTTGTTTTAGTCCAGGATAACCTGGGACTTCTTTTTTTTTTTTTTTTCGGTCCGGTCGTGGGCCTGAACTCTGGGCCTGGGCGCTGTCCCTCAGCTCTTCAGCTCAAGGCTAGCGATCTACCACTTGAGCCACAGTGCCACTTCCGGCTTTTTTCTTTTTGCTTATGTGGTGCTGAGGAATCGAACTCGGCCTCAGGCATGCAAGGCAAGCGCTCTACCACGGAGCCACCTTCCCAGCCCCAGCCTGGGACTTCTTGACTCAGGATCCTTCTGCCTTTGCCTCCTCGGTAGCTTGGATCACAGGCATGCAGCAGAGTGCTCTGTTTCCTTCTCTGGGTCTTTATTTGAGCTGAGAATTGAGCACTTAGGACTGTAGGAGCCACAGAGGGAGGTCAATTGGGAGTTAGGAGGGTTCTGGGTATCAGTGAGCCTCTGTGCTCTAGTCTCCACCTCCTTGCTATCTCAAGGTGAATTAACTGACTCCCCATACCTACAGGGCTTTCTGTTACTAGCCGTTGTTCTCCCTCATCTTTTCCCAGGGCCTGTCTGCTGCCCTGGCTCTCTTGACTGCCTCCTCTGAGTCTTAATGGACCACCTTTAGTGCTCTCTTGGACAATCTCTCTTGATGATCTCTGTCCCTATGTGTTGTTTCCTTCAGTGCATTTAAGACATTTTATTATAAACGGAATTCATCAAGTGACCTGGTTATTATTGCTGGCCCCAGTCATGACCTCTATAAAACCCTTGCTTTCCCAGTACATGACTGAGTGCCCGCTGCTTTAAGGAGCATTTGTGTGCATGTGTGCGCACATAAGCCTGTCCCTGGAAGCCCTGTCACTGCCCATCCAAGCACCTCTCAGCATGCGTGGGCTGACATAAGTCACCCAGTGAGTTCACAAGGTGGTTTGTATGCAGAGCCTATACCTGTCTGTTCTTAACCCCTCTAAACACTAAGGACAGGGTTGGGTTGCCTTCTCTGATGAAAGGCTGCTGGGTAGAAGTCCTTCTATAGTCCTCTGTGGGAGCAGCAGCTTCCCAGGTGCAGTGAGAACACTCCTCCAGCAGAAGGTCAGGGAGACCTGTGTATGTGGAGAGGTGGGAGAGGGTCACTCGTTCTGGGCAGTGTTGTGTGGGGTGTGTTTTATTGTCTGGTATAAACACACAGTCATGAATGTGTGTACACACACTGAGGTGATGTATCTGCTTTAGATCCATGCCTATACATCCCACGCTTTGCCCACCTGCTGGAGTTTGGAGAGAAGAACCATGAAGTGTCCATGACAGCCTTGAGGCTCCTGCAAAGGATGAAGAGAGACTGGATGCACACAGGCCGGCGTCCCTCCGGCCTCTGTGGCGCAGGTACGGTGGCCCTGGGCCTGCCCCTAGGAGGCAGTCACTGGCTGCATGTTTCTGTACTGTTCTTATTTTTCCTGATATTTCCCTGATGCTTTGATCTGGAAATCAAATCCAGGACCTGGACCATGGTGAACAACTCTGTATCACTAAGTTAAGCCATTCAGCCCTCTACCTGGACCCTGGAGCAGCCAAGCCCATGGGAGTTGTAGATTCTGTTTCCAGAGCAGACCTCACACTAAGAGCTGTCTTGTATGCCCAGGAGGGTCCTCGGCCCTTGAGGACTTGCATTACCCCTCCTGCTACCCTGCAGTGGTAGGTCCCACATAAGGAACAAGATCCTCAGAGGCTGAGGGGGACCAACTGGGAGCTCTAGCCTTGACCCCAGGTTGTCCACTTATGATGGATTACCTATGCTTAGTGTGGCGAGGGTGTGACCTCCGAGGCTTGAGTCCTGGGTAGAGATGCCACTGGGCCCAGCAGTGTGGTTGTTTGGTCACCACGATGAGGACCTTCAGACTGGCCACCACAGAGGAATGCTGTGCATTGCTCTGGATGGGACCCTGGCCCAGGGCTCCTGCCTATGAAAACCCCAGTGACAGCAAAGCCCTATTGCTCTTCTGGTACTATTTCTTCTCAATAGTGCCAGGTACCAGCTTCTACAGTCAGCCACAAGCAGGACTGATTCTAGCTGAATCCAGTTTTCACTTAAAACCTGCCATCCACATTTGTGCTACAGATTCCAGCCCCGTTTGGTTCTCAGTGGCCCTGGTAAACATGTTTTCACCAGTACCTGTGGCTTTGTGCCCTGGGCCACATCCTCAGAATCCTCAGCTTTTGTTGCAACCAGCGTTTCACAGACCAGTGACTTCTGAGGTAGCTTGTGTGCTTTGAAATGTTATATGGCGTTCTCAGACTTGCTATTTTAATTTTCCCTGTATTTCAAAGTAGAAGATAATGCTACCACAACCTAACAGTTGGGGAACATCTTTGCCTAGCAATTCCATACCACGCATCTGTCTCTTTAAGGATGGTGGGTACCATTCTATCCCTCTCCGCTCACTTGTAGGAGCTGCTGCAGCAGGCAGGTGTACCACTGCCCTGGTGGCAGACTCATCTTGCCCGGGCTCATCCCTCACCCTCCAGGATTTTAGCAGAATTGTTTTCTATGCCTGTAATCCTAGCTACTTATGAGGTAGAGATCAGTGGATCTCCGTTTGAGGCCAGTTTGAGCATAAAAATTTTTCAAGGCTCCATCTTTTTAAATTTTTAAAAAATCTTCAGTAGTTGTACGAAGAGGTTTCACTTCCACAAGTTAGATGATGAGTACAATGCATCCTGACAATGTCAATCTTTCCATTCTTCTCCCCCATCTCTCCCTATCCCATCTCTACCCTCAAGTTACATAGTTCAACTTTTATGCCATGTTTAATATTGTATAATGATTGCATTTGCTTACCTTTTCTCCTTCCTCTCCCCTCACAAAAAAACGTGTTTCAACTTCCTGGTATTCTTTTCATTAAATGAGTAGTTAGTTGTTCAGAAGAATTATACCATTGTACCTTTGGACTTCTTTCTGAAAAATTCCATCTGTGTCTGTGTATGTGTGTGCGCGCGCACGCCAGTTTTGAGGCTTGACCTCAGGGCCTGGGTCCTGTCTCTGGGCTCCTTTTGCTGAAGGCTAGCACTCTACTACTTGAGCCACAGCTGTACTTTCAGCTCTTTTGGTAATTAATTGGAGATAAGAGTCTCATAGGCTATCCTGCTTGGACTGGCTTCAAACCGTGATACTCAGGTCCCAGCAGCCTTCTGAATAACTAGGATTATAGGCATGAGCCACTGGCTCCCTGCTGAAGACACCATCTTTTTCTTTTTTTTTTTTTTGATTGTGGGGCCTGAACTCTGGGCCTCAGTTCTTCAGCTCAAGGCTAGTGCTCTACCACTTGAGCCACAGCACCACTTCCGGCTTTTTCTACTTATGTGGTGCTGAAGAATCAAACCCAGGGCCTCATGCATATAAGGCAAGCACTCTACCACTGAGCCACCTGTTCCCAGCCCTGAAGACTCCATTTTAACAGATGGCTGGACTAGGTGGTGAGCGGTTATCACAGTGATGGGAGAAGCACAGGTGGGAATCACAGTTCAGGCCAGCCAGAGGGAGGCATAAAGGGACCTATCTCAAAAACAACCAACCTGGGCTGGGAAGGTGGCTCAGTGGTAGAGTGCTTGCCTCGCATGTATGAGGCTCTGGGTTTGATTCCTCAGCACCACATAAACAGAAAAAGCCAGAAGTGGTGCTGTGGCTCAAGTGGTAGAGCACTAGCCTTGAGATGAAGAGCTGAGGGATAGTGCCCAGGCCCAGAGTTCAAGCCCCAGGACTGGCAACGAAACCCAAAAAAACAAAAAACCAACCCTGAAAGAAGCTGCTGGAGCGACTCAAATAATAGAGCTCCTGCCTAGCAAGCATAGTACCAGAAAGGGAAAACATTGTTTTCTTAGTTACCATTTGTGGTTCAGTTTTCCTTTTGCTCTTTTCTAGCACTTCTGGTTGCTGCCCGAATGCATGACTTCCGGAGAACTGTGAAAGAAGTCATCAGTGTGGTCAAAGTATGTGAATCCACGCTGCGGAAGAGGTGGGTGTGCTGGGCGTGGTGTGGGGGCCACCAGGGGAGGCTGCTTGTTGGCACTGCGGCTGCTCCCCGAGGACCAGCCTGACCTGCAGGGGCACTCAGCCTTCCTGCTCTAGTGTCTAAACTAAATCAGGGCAGAGCAATACGAGATATGTGCACCATGCCCCAACTCATCAACATTAGGGAACAGGCAGGAAGACTGCGCTGGCGTCCAGTGGATGCCTCCTTACCCATCAGTGCAGTCTTTGAGCCTGAGTGAGCTGTCTCCCTATGGGAAGCTAAGAGTCAGACAGGTGTCACTATGTCTGTTTGCCCAGTGGCATAGCCAGCTAGCCAGTTATGTGGCAGAGGCTTTGCACCCCTGCTTTGGCAGCAGTGTTGACAAGTTGTTCACAGCCTATCTGGAAAAACGCCCATGACATAAACAGGAGGCAGACCTGCTTGCAGACTGTAATCACTATTGCCTTTATCACAGATCTTGCCATCCCATGGCTGTGTTCGTCTGTTATAGCAGCTTTCCAGAAGCAGGAGGGAAATTATTTTGCTTTGAATATTTAGACTCCAATTATCTTTAAAAATTATTTCATTAAACATTTTGAAGACCATATACAATGGAAAGGAGTTGATAATCTTGTTAGCCAACACAGACATGTCTAATCTTTGCCCTGACTTAGGGCAGCTGGAGATTCTGGGGCCTCCTGTCTTACATCCGAACCCAGGGGGAGTTACAGTAATAAGATGAGAGTATTGTAGGCTTTTCTCCCAGCGACTTGAGCTTGTGACAGGATGGGTGGGGACTGAGAAGCTGTCAGAAGGAGACTGATGAGCCCATGGTTGTGGTTGGGTTACCTGAGCTGGCAATGCTTTAGGGAGGAGAAGCTTCCACCTGGCCTTGAGATACTGCGGCTGTGATACTATTGCAAAAGAATATTTGCTCATGGAGGTGAGACACCAAGAAAGTTTATTATAAAGCAAAGGAATGGAGAGATAAGTAGCATCTAACCCAGACATGGATGCTGGCATATCTGATCACAAGTGCCATGAGTGCTCTAATATCGTGTATTTAAGATGAAGGAGGAAAAAAAAAGCTCGGAGCTGGTGGCTCAAAGTGGTAGTCCTGGTATATTTAATTATTCTTGCTGTTACACTATTTTATCTATCAGATCCAGAGATTGAAAGATTAGACTGCTTTTAAAGCTTGAGTCCTTATGACATAGATGTCAGAGTATTCCTTTAAACCATGGTCTAGGAAATGATTTGGTACACCATAGGATAGATAAATATGCTTCTCATATGCTTTTTTTTGTTGGTCGTGGGACTTGAACTCTGGGCTTGGGTGCTATCCTTGCGCTCTTCAGCTCAAGGTGAGAGCTCTACCGCTTGAGCTACAGCACCATTTCCGGTTTTCGAGTAGTTTATTGGAGATGAGTTTCACCGACTTTCTTACTCAGGCTGGCTTTGAACTGTGATCCTCAGATCTCAGCCTCCTGAGTAGCTAGAATTACAGGTGTGAGCCACCGGCACGCACGCACATGTGCACGTGTGTGTGTGTGTGTGTGTCCTTTGAGCTTTTTTGCTCAAGGCTAGCACTCTGCCACTTGAGCTACAATTCCACATCTGGCTTTTTTGGTGCTTAATTGTTGATAAGAGTCACAGACTTTCTTGATTGTGCTGGCTTCAAAACACGATCCTCAGCTCTCAGCTTCTTGAGTAGCTTCGATTACATGTGTGAGTCACCAGTACCTGGCTTCTCTCATGTGCTTTTTGTCAGCTGCCCATAGCCATCTGCCTCTGTTAATAATATCCAAATGATCAAAGACCACAGTGTCAGACCTGAAACTCTGGAAAAACATTAGAACTTACAGGCACAGACAGGAACTTCTTGAACAGAGTCCCCGGAGCACAATGGAGAGGCAAGAGACTCAACAAGTGGGACTTACATTAAAATAAAAGGTTTCTGCATAGCTAAGGACATAGTTACTAAACTAGAAAGACAAACAGCCCAAGTGGGAAAAGATCTTCACCAGCAATACATCAGACATACCAGCAGTACATCAGACAAAACCTAATATCTAGTATATACAAAGAGCTAAAGAAACTGACTTCTCCCAAACCTACTACACCAATCACTAAGTGGGCAAGAGAACTAAGAAGAGACTTCTCAGAAGAAGAGGTTCAGAATGGCAAAGAGCCGGGAACTGGTGGCTCATGCCTGTAATCCTAGCTACTCAGGAGGCTGAGATCTGAGGATCGTGGTTCAAAGCCAGCCCGGGCAGGAGAGACTGTGAGACTCCTATCTCTAATAAGCCACCAGAAAACCGGAAGTGGCGCTGTAGCTCAAGTGGTAGAGTGCTCGCCTTGAGCTGAAGAGCTGAGGGACAGCGCCCAGGCCCAGAGTTCAAGCCCCACGACTGACAAAAAAAAAAAAAGAATGGCAAAGAAACACATGAAGAAATGCTCATCATCACTGGCCATAAAAGAAATGCAAATCAAACCAACTCTGAGATTCCATCTCACCCCAGTAAGATTGGCCAACATTTTGAATTCACACAACAAATGCTAGAGGGGATGTAGGAAAAAAGGAACCCAACCCCTCTGTACAGTATGTTCACAAATAAAAAATAAATAAATTAAAAGAAAAAGGAACCCTACTAGACTGCTGGTGGGAATGTAAATTAGTACAACCACTCTGGACAACAGTCTGGAGGTTCCTCAAAAAAACTAAACATAGGCCGGGCACTGGTGGTTCACGCCTGCCATTCTAGCTACTCAGGAGGCTGAGATCTGAGGATTGCGGTTCAAAACCAGCCGGGAAAGTCCTACCCAGGCTGGCTTTGAACTGCGATCCTCAGATCTCAGGCTCCTGGGTAGCTAGGATTATAGGCATGAGCCACCGGCGCCCGGCTGATAACTCTATTCTTTACCTTAAACATAGTATATTCACATGCACATCTGTGGAGGGAGGGCACAGAATCCCAGATAAAAGGATGAAGAATTGCAGCAGTGGAGTGCACTGGACATAGATGAAAGTGAACTGTGTACCTCGTGGGTGGAGAGGGGAGAGAGGTAATGGGAGAGAATGATGGAATAGATGACACTGTACAAAAGGAAATGTACTTACTACCTGATGCATGAATGGCAACCCTGTTGTGTATCACCTCTAAATAAAAACAAATTGGAAAAAAGTTAAAAAATAATAGTAAATTGAAATCAGCATCAAAATAATAATATCCATATGGCCCTTGACACCTGATTTAAACAAAGGCTGGGTTCTGCCAGGTGCTTACTTCAAGACAGGTATTCATTACATGGTATTTTCCTTTGCAAATTCTCTTTATTGTTATTACTGGGCTGGGAAGGTGGCTCCGTGGTAAAGTGCTCACCTTGTATGCCTGAGGCCCTGGGTTCGATTCCTCAGCACCACATAAGCAAAAAGAAAAAAGCCGGTAGTGGTGCTGTGGCTCAAGTGGTAGAGCGCTAGCCTTGAGCTGAAGAGCTGAGGAACAGCGCCCAGGCCCAGAGTTCAGGCCCCACGACCAGACCCCCCCACCAAAAAAAGAAAGAAATTGTTATTACTAAGTAGTTGTATTAAGGGGTTGCAGGTTATAAGTACAGTGCTTCTTGACAATGTCACTTTTTCCTTCACTCCCTCATTTTTCCCCTTGCAAATATTCTTAGTGCACCAAAGAGTCATTTTTTCCTAAAGTTTTTCCCAGGATGTTTGTTTTTAAGATACCTTGATCCACTGGACACCAGTGTTGACACCTATAATCCTAACTACTCGAGGCTGATTCTGAGGATTGCAGCTCTCCTGCCCAGGCAGGAGAGCCCATGAGACTCCTATCTCTAATTAACCCCCAAAAAATCCAGAAGTGGAGCTGTGGCTCAAGTGGTAGAGCACTAGCCCTGAGCAAAAGAAAAAAAAAACAAAACACCTCAAGGACAGTGCTCAGGCCTTGAGTTCAAGCCCCAGGTCCGGCAAGAGAGAGACAGAGACAGACAGAGAGAGCTGTTCTTTCTTCCCTTTTATTCTTTTTACTAGAATGTTGCAGCTTATTGAAAGGGTGTCAGGTGTGAAGTAAAATAGTACTTGTGTGCTCGTAATCAAACCATTCAGTAGTTTTTGTTAATCCAGTATTTATGTCTGAGTTTATGGCTGCTGTTTTCCATACTTCACTTCCTGTGGCCTTCCTGCCTCAGTGTGACCAGGGTCTATGAGAGAACCTGCTTGCAGACACAGCTTTAGTTAAGTGTTAGGCTGGGCAGGGTGGTTTGTCCCTCTAATCCTCACTACCTAGGAGGCAGAGATTGAGAGGATTGCCGTCCAAAGCCCTCCGAGACAAAAAGTTTTAGTAATATCTCAAGAAATAAGTTGGGCCTGGTGGTATGTGACTGTGATCCTACCTATCCTGGAGACAAAGGGTAGGAGGGTCATGGTCTGAGGTTGGTCCTGGCAAAAACTGAGACTTAAATCTGAAAAATAACTAAAGTAAATAAAGGCTCTGGGTATGTTTCAAGTTGGTAAGAGTACCTGGTTAGCAAGCACAAGGTATAGAGTTCAACTCCAGGACTGCTAAAAAAAATTTTTTTTAAGTTTTCATGGCATTGAACCTTACTTACCTGTTTTAGGCTCACAGAATTTGAGGATACGCCCACCAGTCAGCTGACCATTGATGAGTTTATGAAGATTGATTTGGAAGAGGAATGTGATCCACCGTCGTACACAGCTGGACAAAGGAAGCTGCGCATGAAGCAGGTGGCACCAATCTGGGCCTCTTACTGCACCCCTCCCACCAGCACTCGGGTTTCTAAGAGCATTTGAGGTCTAACATTTTGAGTCTGTTGTTCCCAAAAAATGGCTTAGCAACCTAGGGCAAACTTCATCTGTGTCCTGGCATAGGCTGTGTTCTCAGACCTTGGAATGAGGAGGTCGCAGAGGCATGCTGAGTGTTGAAACCCTCCCAGCCCCATTCATGTTGGGGCTGCTGCCAGGTTCCCACGCCCAGCTCACTGAGCCCATCCCAGAGCTAGGCTTTATTTCAAAGCTAGAATGTAGAGTGAGCTCCACAAATAATGTGTGGTTTAGAAAATACCACAAGTGAGTGCTTCGTCACCCGAGGCAGCTGCTACTGTGGCTGTATCGCCTTTGTGTTTTTGTCATTGGGTTCATGGGCCTTCTTGCGTGCCATTGCTATTTCCAGTGAGGAGGACAGAGGTAGGCTTTGGCCGCCTAGTAGAGGACTCTTGCTTCTGGATTCTCAAAGTGAGCTACCTCTCTCTAGAGCCAGTGTGATGTTACTTGTAAGAGGGTCCAGGTCGCTTTACTTCCATTTCCTCCAGTGAAGCACATATCCCATGACACCCATGGCCTGATGGACACTGAACCCCGCAGACATTGAACTCACCAAGTGTCCTCTCTTTTCTTTCAGCTTGAACAAGTCCTGTCCAAAAAACTGGAGGAAGTTGAAGGTAACCAACCGGAATTCCCATACAAATGCTTCTGTTTGCTTAGGAAAATTGGCTTGCACTTACCTTTTGCTTTTAACTGGGTTACTTCAGGTGAAATATCCAGTTACCAGGATGCCATTGAGATTGAACTAGAAAACAGCCGGCCAAGGCCAAAGGGAGCCCTTGCCAACTTGTCGAAGGATGGTGAGTACTCCCTGCCTTCCTGGGCACGCATGACTCCAGGCCCGCAGCCCTGGGACCTCTCTCTGACACTGGATACCACCCTTCTCACCACCATTTCCCAGGAAACATGGTTGGTTCTGCATCCGCAGGTCCCACGCCCACCCCAGGCTGCTGATTACCTGCCTCCTGGTCCTGTCTGGTCCTGATGTGTTGGAGTCATTGTTCATATATGTCTCCTGGCATGCGTGGCTACCCACACCACTCAGGCACTTCCTTATCATCTGAGTTCCTGTCCCTAGTCTCTGTAGGCTGGCCTCCTGTTGCCTCAGATGTGCCCCACCCCCAGGGTCATTATCCTTCCTCTGGCTCTGGAGCTGCCAGCAGCTTACATGTATAGTGCTGAGCTGGCCTTCGTGGAGTTATGAATTGCGGGACTGTGAACACTGGCCGTGGCAGCTGATGCTCAGTGCTCATGCCTGTCCACTACCCACACACCTCCAGTTTCCAGTCTGGGCTTTGAGAACTGCCACGAGCATTCATGCTATTAGACAGGGCTCTATTCTGGGCTGAGCAGCGGGATGAGAGAGTGCATACCGCCACCCTCCTTGGGGGGCAGTGTGAGATACATATGCTCTGCATCCTTGCGTTGGTCTCCTGTGCCTTGGTTTGTGTTTGGAGGAACTACCTGCACCAGCAGCAGCCAGGGCTGTGCTCCTAGTGCTTGCTGCTCTTTGAAACGGCTCTCAGAAACAGGCAAGCATCTCATCATCTCAGCTTCTCCAGACATTTGTTTCACGTGAGGTTTAGGACCACCTGTCTCATCCTCCCAGTCCTCCCTGTGCTTCACCTGGCAGAGCTTGGGGCTACCTCACTTACCTTTTTCTGCTCTTTCCTCTCCCTCCTGAGAATAGGCATCTCTTTGCTCTGGTCTTCTGTTCTGTGGGCTGAAGTCTGTAGATATGGTTTGCCCAGGCTCTGCTGTCCTCTGTGCTGAAGTCTGTAGACATGGCTCAGCCAGGCTCTGCTGTCCTCTGTGCTAAAGTCTGTAGACATGGCTCAGCCAGGCTCTGCTGTCCTCTGTGTGGCTATCATTTTTCCTCTTATTTCCACATCTGCTTGCTGCTGACTTGCTACTGATTTTGCTCCTGTGTGGGAGGAATCTTGTTACTTCATTTAGTAGTTTTCGGTGTATCCATGAGTTTTTCCAAGTAATTAATTGTGTCATCTACACATAATAGTCAATTCTCTACAGACTTTTGTTGTTGTTGTTGTACCAGGGTTTGATCTATGAGGGCCTTGCACTTCTTGCTCAGCTTGTTTGCCTGACTGACATTTTCACTTGAATCATGTCTACAGCCCTACTTTTTGCTAGTTATTTTGGAGAGGGAGTCTTGTGGATTTTTCTGCTTGCACTGACTTCAGATTGCAATCCTACAGATCTCAGTTTCCTTAGTAGTTAGGATTATAGGTATGGATCACCAGTGCCCAGCTTTACCAACTCTTGCATCCTAATTTTTTTCCTCAAGTTGCCTGATTCTACCTTGCCTCTCTGAATCTTGAGGCAGCAGTGGTATGTCCCCATGCCCCCTGACCCTCCAGCTTGCATAGGCCAGGATATCTGCACTGCCAGTCACCTTCTACCTTTCATACCAAGGACAGGCCCCACTACTCACCAAGAGGTCTGGTCAGTGAGTGTGTGTTCTGGGCATCCACAGCATTTGTAGGCCACAGGCATTCATATGGTGGACCAGTGCCATCCATGATTTTGACATGCCCACTGCATGCCTTCCTGCTTCCCAGGAGGTGCCACTGAGCCGCAGGGTTGCCCATTCCTGCCCATTTAGGCTTTTATCCTAACGGTGCAGAGTTGAACATAGTTATATTGTAAGGTACTTTGGATTCTTTGTTCTTTTTTTCATTATTTCTTCCATAGTTTTGCTTTGTTTTTTTCCTAGCTGGGTTATTGCTGCCCATTTGGCAGCCTTTGCGTTGGTTCACATTTCCGCCTTGGAGGTCTTTGCTTACCTCCACACTTCCTTTTACCCCTGTCACTCTACCCTCCGCCAACACCTCACTGACGTCCTCTGATCACTGCTGACCGCACCTCTGGCTAGCCAGCTTTCCACTGGTGGCCATTGGTCCTACTGTGAAGTGTTTCAGTTTCTCCATCCTGGGTTATTTTTGCTCTTCTGTGCCATTGTGGAGGTGGGGTGGGGTCAGATGTAGACACGAACCTCTTGTCTCTGTGCTGTCCTTCAGGGTGCAGTTTCCAGAGCACTTGGGAAGGAGGTAGAGGCACCTGTGGCCCAGGCATGGGTAGGGCTCTGCCATTTTTGACATCGGCACTCACTGCTTCACTTGCCAGAAGGCTGCTGTCCTGAAGGCCTCTGGTCCTCATTCCATTGACCCTTGCAAACACAAGGTGGCTGGCCACTGCCCGCTAACTGCCCTTGTTGTGATGGCTGTGGTCTGGCTTCTGCCCTGGACACCTACTCTGAAGGTTCCCCTCTACCCAGTGAGAACAGGTCGTAGTGCATCCTTGCTTGTCCTGTTCCATCAGTTGGCCTATCTGGGAGTGCCTTACATGGCAGTGACCTGCTTTGCCTGTTTGCTGTGACCTGAAAAGCTTTTTCTTCTAATTGAAATAAGCTGATATCCTTACTGATCAGCTTCTTGCAAGGAATTGTCTGAACTTTGGTCTTGTTTCCATTCTAGCAGTGTTCTTTGTAATTTTTTTCATTCCTCTGTTTCTTGGACAATGTCTGCTCGTACTTGCCCCACCCAAGGAAAACAGACATGGTTCCTGCTACTTTCTCAGCACAGAGCTGGCCACAGACAGGGCATTCTGAATGGCGTGGGGGCGGTGCGGGCCATGCAGGGTCTCAGACAATAGATGAACGGGATAGAGCTGGCCACAGATAGGGCATTCTGAACGGCATGGGGGCGGTGCGGGCCATGCAGGGTCTCAGACAATAGATGAACGGGATAGAGCTGGCCACAGATAGGGCATTCTGAACGGCATGGGGGCGGTGCGGGCCATGCAGGGTCTCAGACAATAGATGAACGGGATAGGCTGCACAGTGGACGCTGGCGGTACTTCTCAGGCATATGACACCTTGGTGTAGGGTCCACTTTGGCAGCTTGGGGCAAGGTGGCTGCCTGCAGCAGTCTGTACCCCTGGTGACGTGAGCTACACTGAGAAGCAGCCTCAGTGTGGCCTGCTTAGAGCAGATGAAGCAGGGAGATTCTTTCAGATATGCCTTTAACCATTAGATATTTTCGTCATGTGAGGTGTGACACACACAGCAAGCTGCACATAGATGAAAAGCCCTTTGGCTGTTGCTTGAACCTGAGCAGAGCTGAGAAGCCAGCACCATCAGGCTGACTCCCAGACCTCAGACCTGGCGCTGCTTCATGTCCCCAGGCCCTTTGCCACACACCCCACTGTGCGCCCAGGCTGCTCTGGATGCTCTCTGCCACGGAGGCAGTGGCATTGCTAGACTGTCCCACAAGTCTTCTATACACACAGTGTGCATGCATTCTACCTCCCCTGTTTTTTTCACTTGGTGTAATTATTTTGAATCACTCCTCACTAATTTGTCACTTTTTATTGTGGTACAATAAGCACAAATGGCTGGGAAGGTGGCTCAGTGGTAGAGCACTAGCCTTGAGCTGAAGAGCTGAGGGACAGTTCCCAGGCCCAGAGTTCAGGCCCCACAACCGGACACTCCCCCCCCCCAAAAAAAAATAAAAAAAAAGCACAAACATGCCAAGGTTGTTTTGTTCTCCACTTGTCTGTTGAAGAACATTTGGGTTATTCCAATTTTTGGACTGTTACAAATAAACTACTCTGAACCCTTGCATGCAGTCTCTTGGTGGATATTTATTTCCTTTCTTTTTTTCTTTTCTTTTTTTTTTTTGTAATACTAGAAATTGAACTCAGAGCCTTTGCTTATAAGTACCCAACTCCACTCCCCACTTTTTTTTGTCTTACTTTTTTAGTACTGGGAATCGCACCCAGGACATTGCACTTGCTAGGCAAGTGCTTTGCCACTGAGCTGCATCCCAGCCCTTCCATCCCTGCCCCTCCATCCCCTGTTGCATTCATTATTTTTAGGTAGGTCCTATTTTATGCTAGGGCCAGCCTAGGCTACAATCTTCCTGTTTTCCTGGTTGACATGACGTCTCTCAAACTTTTTGTTGTTGGTGGTGGTGGTGGTTGTGGGGCTTGAACTCTGGGCCTGGGAGCTGTTCCTGAGCTCTTCAGTTCAAGGCTAGCACTCTACCATTTGAGCCACAGCACCACTTACGGTTTTCTGGTGGTTAATTGGAGATAAGAGTCTCACAGAGTGGGGTGCGGTGGCTCATGCCTGTAATCCTAGCTGGTCAAGAGGCTGAGATCTCTTATTGGAGATAAGAGTCTCACAGTTCAAAGCCATGAGACTCTTATCTCCAATAACCCACTAGAAAACCGGAAGTGCTGTGGCTCAAGCGGTAGAGCGCTTGCCTTGAGCTGAGGAGCGCAAGGACAGTGCCCAGGCCCAGAGTTCAAGCCCCACCAAAAAAAAGTCTCACGGACTTTCCTGCCCAGGCTGGCTTTGAACTGTGATCCTCAGATCTCAGCTTCCTGAGTAGCTAGGATTGCAGGTGTGAGCCACCAGTACCTGGCTCTCAAACTTTTATGTCTGGGCTGTCCTCAAACTGTAATCCCCTAATCTGTGTGTGTGTGTGTGTGTGTGTGTGTGTGTGTGTGTGTGTGTGTGTCTCTGTGTGTGTCTCTGTGTGTCTGTCTGTGTGTCTGTGTGTGTCTGTCTGTCTGTGTCTGTCTGTGTGTCTCTGTGTCTCTGTGTCTGTGTCTGTGTGTGTGTGCGCCACGTGAGTGCATGTGCACTAGTCCTGATCAAAGCCTGGGCACTGTCCCTGAACTCTTTTGCTCAGGGCTATTACTCTACCACTTGAGCCACAGCTTCACTTCTAGTTTTTTGGTTTTTTGTTTTTGGTTTTGGTTTTTTTTGGTGCTTAACTGGTGATAAGAGTCTCACAGACTTTCTTGCCTGAGCTGGCTTCAAATGGAGGTCCTCAGATCTCAGACTCCTGATTGGATAGAGCCACTAGTGCTTTGCTCTTTTTTTTTTTTTTTTTTTTCAGGAAGGGGGTGCTTGTACTGGGGCTTGAACTTAGGGCCTGGGATCTGTCCCTTGGCTTTTATGCTCAAGGCTGTTTTTCTACCACTGTTCCACAGCTCCACTTCTGGCATTTTGCTAGCTAACTGGAGATAAAAGAGTCTCAATGACTTTCTTGTCTGGGCTGGCTTTGAAACACAGTCCTCAGATCGTGGATTCAAACTCTGCTTCTTAAGTAGCAAGGATTATAGCTTGAGCCACTGTGACCAGCCACATTTAATTCCTTTGTCCTGGGAAGAAAGTGGAGTTGGTAGGCAGGGGTAAGGTGGCATGCAGATGTTTTTGAAAGTTCAGTTTGCATAGTGGCCACCCCATGTACTTCAGCAGCAGCCTGTGAGAGCCTAGCCGCTCTGTGTGTGCAGTGCTGTCACTCTGTGCTTGCACTCAGCTGACCTTGCATTTCCTGATAACAGCTGTACCGAGAGGACCTTCCCTGCTGCGCCCCTGTTCAGTGTCCTCTGTGCTGCCATTGCCATCTTTTCTTTTGCCTGCTTTTTAGTTGGACTGTGTGTTTGTTCGTGGAGTCTAGGAGTTCTGCGTGTTGTAGATGTATCTGTCAGATGTGTGATCACTAATGATGCCTAAGTCTATTCCATCATATTGACAGTGTTTTTTACAGAGGGAATGGTTATGAGAATTTTTCAAACTCCATGTTATCAATGTTTTATGTATTCTGCTGTAACATGATATCTAGATGTTTTTGCCTAATCCAAGGTCACAGACATCTTCCTTTTTCCTGAAATTCCTCTGCTTCTAGTTGTCACACTTAGGCCTCTGGTCTGAGTATGAGAAATGGTAAACCATTCTTTCATGTGGATACCCTGGGACCATTCGCCAGTAGGACTTCTTTCTCTGCTACAGGAGAGGCATGCTTCTGGTAGTGTTTGTGCTGCTACTTTTCTTTTAACAGGAATGTTTCTGTCACAGGTGGGCTCCTCTGCCTGGCTGACTGGTGGTCTGTGCATCATGTGTCCATAGGTTCTGCCGAGGAAGCCACATCTAGCCCGTTGGGTGAAGAAGATGCTGAGGATGAAGAGCTGGAGGCTGCCGCCAGCCACATGAACAAAGACTTTTACCAGGAACTCCTAGGTGGTGGTGGCAGCAGTTCAGAAGCAGAAGAAAGCACTGAGGGGGGTGGCAGGCCCCTGGCCTTGGAGTCCCTGCTTGGTCCCCTGCCCACAGCAGCCAGCCTGGGCATCTCTGATCCCATCCGAGAGTGCATCTCCTCCCCGAGCCTGGACCCCAGTGAGTGCCCTTGAGCAGGGAGGAATCCAGTCCACACTGTCTCATTGGAGTGGACTGGATCCCATGGTTTATTCATAAAGGGAAGAAAGCAGGCTGTGGGTGGGGTACTACCAGGCCACAGTGGAGCTCTGTGAAAGATCGATGGTCATAGATAAGAAGTGGGCTATACACCAAACCCCAGAGTGCCATCAGGTGCCCTCCACTGTCACACATTCCCTTGATGGCCTTAGGTAGCCCTTAGTGGCCTGTGTTCCAGGGCTGGAATGACTGCCATGCAACTGGGAGGTAGCACTGGTGTAGCTTGAAGTTCTGCACAGGTTGGGACCAATGTCCCTTGGCGCTTTTGCTATGCTATGGCAGGAAAGCCTGGCCTGGGCATGTGCAGTCAGAACACTGCTGACCCTCAGCCCCAGTGACAAGGCACCTGAGAGGACCTTTGTCCCCACCCCACAGCACCTAGGGCCCAGGCCCTGCTCATTTCCCTTCCTCTCCTACAGAGGTGGACGGGTCCCATTCCAGTCCCAGGTCCTCCTCCTGGCAGGTGCCAAAGCTCACTGAGGGGGATTCTAGCAGGATACCACCCAGTCAGTACAGCATCTGGGCCAGCTGTCCACAGGACAGGAAAGCCTGGGTGGGCCCCCACAGGGCTCTGGGCAGAAGGCATGTGCAAAGACGTTCAGAAGCCCAGGCACAGTGGCCCTGGAGCAAGAGAGCGAGGCCATGGAGCAGACTTCAGAGGGTCTGAGGGATTGGTTCTAACCATAGAACTGCCCACAAGTCTTACCTGTCAAGGATGAAGACTGGCAGTGTGATTGGAGTTGACAAGTCTTATTAAAGGCATTGGGTGAAGGTCTGTGGGGAGAAGGGACTGCCTGACCCCAGGCTATGCAGATTGCCTGTGACCATACAAGACCTCTAGAGGCCTGGACTCCCAGATCCCCCTTGTGTCAGTCCAGGCTTCAGTCACACTCTCATGGTATTTGCTCTTAGCAGCTCTTCACTGTGCTCTTGCTCTGGGCCATGTGCTTCTTGCTGAGGCCACAGAGCCAGTGTCTGTCCACAGACGTTCATGTCTTACTGCAGGGCACGGGTGTGTGGGGGCTTCCTGTGCAGCCTGAGTCTGACATCCTGCTTTCTCACGTAGTGTTCTGATGTAAGTGCCGTCCTCTGTGGACTCAGACAGGGTGGACGTGCAGTGGGGTCAGAGGAGGGGAGTGCTCCCACAGCCCCATGGCCTGGACCCACCTTCAGCACCAGGTATCTGTGTTCCTTTGACAGAGCTCTCCCTAGGTGACACTGATGTGCACTTTCTTCTAGAAGACACCTCGGAGGATGGCGAGCTGGACCTCAGTGGTATTGACGACCTTGAGATTGACAGAGTGAGCAAACTTCCCAAGAGGTGGTTAGGTTCTATGGAGCACAGAGTGGAATTGGTCTTCCAGACCCAGCCCCTGCCACGCAAGTGGCCTTGGCTGGGTGTCCACACGCATGAGCATGGTCTCGCGGCCAGACCCTGCCTCCTCACTTCCCTCCTCCAGCTCCTCTCCAGGGCAGCCCCAGCCACCATATGCCCTTCCTGCTGGCAGCCAGAGCCAGGCTCTAGGCTGACGCTGTTAGTCCTCTGCATTTGGCCTTTGCTGCTATTGGGCCATCTGATTGGGTAGCCTCTGTAGACGCAAGTATGTTGAACAGCTCCAGATCCCAAGCCTCTGTGGTCCCAGGCATGTGAACTGGCTCTTTGCAGTTTATCTCAGTAGTACTGGTCTGCTATAGGTCTTTCTCCTTCTCATCTTATTATACCTAAGACTGTCCATTTGTTGACATTATGCACCCTTAGCTTGGGATCTTCATGGGGCCTGTAGCTTGTACTCTTGTGTCCCACAGCTGAGAGCTGCCAGTGAGGATCTGGGAGCCTTGGATCTAGTTCATGGCTAAATAAACTCTGGTCAGCTGAAAAGGGTAAAGAAGCAACCTGTTTGTACCGTAGTGTCCCACCAGCATTTCTCCTTCCTTTAGCAATTACTCACATAAAGGGGCAGTGTGATGTGAGCGCTCTTAGTGTATCTTGAATGCAGAAGCTCGAAGCTGAAGCCTTCCCTGTGCTTCACACAGTATATCCTGAATGAATCCGAAGCCCGAGTGAAGGCGGAGCTGTGGATGCGGGAGAATGCAGAGTACCTGCGGGAACAGAGGGGTAAGCAGCCGTTTGTTACCTCTCCGGCCCTGTGGTGTAGCCTTCCACTGACAGCGGCAACTTGGTTCCATTTCTAGAGAAAGAAGAGAGAATAGCTAAGGAGAAGGAGCTGGGTATCTACAAGGAGCACAAGGTAGGAGTCTCTGAGGGCTGGGTTTTCTGCTTGTGCTGTGAAGTGAGCAGTGTTCCCTTCCCTGTGACCATAGGGCCTGGGGCCCAGGACAGGCTACAGGAGCTTTGTGCTCTGGACCCAGACACTCAGCCCTGGGCTATCATATTGTCCCATATTGGTCCTGTGCACTAGAGATTTGCTCCCTCATGGGTGGGCATGCCCCAGGTTTTGGGGTGTGGTCCTAGCACAGATGCCAGGTCAGGCTGAGGTAAGCCTCAGGACTGGACCCTGAGAACCCTGGACTTGCGTGCCTTGCCACAGACAAAAGGACTGTCTACGTCCACTTAATCTGAACTGGAGAAACCTGGTATGGTGCCCTCCTCCCTGCGCTGTTGGCTATCTTAGTGTATGGGTTCTGCTGCCCACGCTGGGACCTGAACACAATTCAGCCTCCAGGTGGTGCCTTTGGGAAGAGTCAGGCCTCTGGGTTGAGTCTCAGACTAAAGCAGGCTTGTGCCAGGAGTGAGCCCCCAGCCTCATTCCTCCCGGTGAGTCTGGCTGCAGCTCTAGAAGAGGCCCCAGGTGGTAAATGGTGGGTCAGTAGAGGACAAAAACATTACTTTTATGTTCCTGTCAAGCCCAAGAAGTCCTGCAAACGCCGGGAGCCCATCCTAGCCAGCACCGCAGGAGAGGCCATCGAGAAAATGCTGGAGCAGAAGAAGATATCCAGCAAAATCAATTATAGTGTACTCCGGGACCTTGACAGCAGGGGTGGGACCAGCCCAAAGAGGGAAGACACTCAGCCTGCAGAGAAAGCCAGTGCCAAGAAGGTACCTCGGAGGAAAACGCCAGCCAGCAGGAGCGGGCCTGACCCTGGAACCAACGTAGGGAAAAGGTACTGTACCGTCCCCTCTGGCTGAGTACATCAGATCATGAGGTGGAGGTCAGCAGAGAACTCATGCCTCAGATTCGGGCTGTTGTGGGCCAGGGGTGGGGTTCAGGAGCACCCAGGAACCAGACGATCTCCAGCTGTCAGTGGGAATGTGTCCTGACTCCATGGCCTGGGAGGTCCTGGGTTGAGGGTCCTCTAGCAGCACAGGAGGGAGGCTGTCAGTTGTTTATAATATTTTAGTTGTTGGTTTTAGGTTTTTTTGGGGGGAGGGGGGAGGCATTCCTGGGGCTTGAACTGAGGGCCTAGGTGCTGTCCCTGAGCTTTTTCTCTCAAAGCAAGCACTTTACCACTTGATCTATAACACTGCTTTCAGCTTTGTGGTGGTTAATTGGAGATAAGAGTCCTGCCCAGACTGGCTTTGAACCACAATCCTCAGATCTCAGACTCCTGAGTAGCTAGGATTACAGGTGTGAGCCACTGGCACCTGGCTCCTTCTAATGGCTATTATTTTGTGTGTGTGTGTGCGCGTGCGTGTGCATGCACACGCACCCACACTTGTGTTGTTACTGGAGGTTGAATATTATTTCATTTTTATATAAGTCTCTGGTTCACCTGGGACTTAACTTTGGTAGAAGACAAGGCCTGCTTGGTGTTCTGGGTGGCGCTGTGAACAGGACTGTAAGAACCCCCACCTTGACTGTGTCAGGGTCTGTTTGATGCTCCTTGAGCTGTTGGGTATGTACTTGGCTCTCCTGGTTCCCCTGGGGAGCACTGGCTGAGGCCTCTGTTTTCTATGTACAGCTTATGTCTAGGCCAGGCCTTTTCTCACTGGCATTTTGACTGCCTCATTTGGTGGGAAGTGTTCTTGGATACATTAAGGTAGAGCACAGTTGTCTTAGAGTCCCGAACACATGGGTGTTTCTCTTGTGATACAATTGCCTCCACAGAGTCTTCTGTGAAGTCTTCTAGTTGTATCCTGGGTGGGGGCCATGTTTGTGTTTCTTGAACCTCGTGGACTCCTGGTGTTCAGGAGCTTCCTGCAGCCCTGTGCTGGTGTCCTGTTACCCAGTACTGGGAAGAGTGTTGAGGCTGCTTGAGACAGGGCTTCCTCCAAGGGGGCATTGTGTTCTTAGCTGACCTTCCAGCCTCTCCTTCCCATTTCTGTTGCAAGTCTTGGGCATGAATTCCTAGCAGAGCCATTTCTTGTACATGGCGGGGGGGGGGGGGTGGCTAGTCAGTGGGTGGCAGAAGCTGTGGACCACTCCTAAGGTAGCAGGTCTGGGCTCACCCTCCCACCCACCTAGCCTCTGTCAGTGTAAGGGGAGTCCTGTCCCAGGGTGCTGATTCTAGTACCCCTGGGGCATGTGCATGGGCCATTGACACTCCTGTCAGCAGGAAGCCCATCAGCCTTCCTGGGTGCCAGAACAGTGTGTAGATGTCTTCTGTCCTGCATGGGGTGAGGGCCTCAGAGCTGGTAGCACCTTCCCCTTGCACCTTTGCCCACCTCTGCCCAGCGTTGGAAGTGTAGGGAAAGAAGAAAACCCGCAGGACTCACGGCTGCGAGTCTGCTAGAAGCACTGGCCTCAGGGCCGGGTGGTGGGGTTGGCGTGCACGGTGGTGCTCAGCACCTCTTCTGGGAGGTGGGACCCGAGTGGTCCGAGCCAGAACTTCTTCCACCCTGATCAGGGCTCCTGGAGCCTCCCAGACCAGGCTCAGGCGGGCTTCAGCCTAACAGGTGGTGCTGGCCCGCATGTGCTCTGTGCTGGCCAGCAGAGGGAACGTGGACAGGGTGACCACCATGCCCAGTCACAGTGCTCTCATGGGAATCCACCGTGTGGCTCGTTCTCCAGAGGCTGACATCTGGAGCCATTGGTAGGTCTTGGAAATAGGGGGAGCAGTGGCCTCAACTTGCTGTCCAGAGGCTGTGGGCTAAGGTATTCTGGACAGGGTCTATGTTCGCTAGCTAGGAGCCCAGCCCACCTCAGCAACCATCCAGAGCAGGCTGGCTTCCTGTGCTTAGGTTCTGTGTCTATCCACCTGTTAAAAATTCCCTTCCAGCCAGATGCCATTGGCTCACGCACCTGTCATCCTAGCTACTCATGAGGCTGAGATCTGAGGATCACGGTCAAATCCAGCCTGGTCAGGAAAGTCCGTGAGACTCTTATCTCCAATAAACCACTAGAAAACCAGAAGTGGTACTGTGACTCAAGCAGTAGAACGCTCACCTTGAGCTGAGGAGCACAGTGACAGTGCCCAGGCCGAATTCAAGCCCCATGACCGACAAAAAAAAAAAAAAAATTCCCTTCCAAAACAAAACAAAAATGGGCTGGGAATGTGGCCTAGTAGTAGAGTGTTTGCCTTGCATGCCTGAAGCCCTGGGTTCTCTTAACACCACAAAAGCAGGAAAAGCAGGTGGTGCTGTGGCTCAAGTGGTAGAGTGCTACCTTTGAGCAAAAGAAGCTCAGGGACAGTGCCCAGGCCCTAGCTTCAAGCCCCAGAACTAGCCAAAAAAAAAAAAAAAAAATCCAGTGTTTGTTCAGTGCCAGTGGCTTTTACCTGTAATCTAGCTAATCAGGAGACTAAGGTATAGGATTACAGTTTAGAGCCAACCTGGCAAGAAAATCCATGGGATTCTTGTCTCCAGTTATTCACTAAGAAGCCAGTAGAGCTGTGGTTCAAGTGGTAGAGTGTTAGCCTTGAGCATTTGAAAGCTCAGTGATAGGGCCTGGGCCCTGAGTTCAAGCTCCAGGACTAGCACCAAAAAAAAATTTTTTCCTAGCTGGGCACCAGTTCACACCTGTAGTCCTAGCTGTTCTAAGCTGAGATCTGAGGATCATGGCTCAAAGCTAGCCCAGGCAAAAAAGTCTGTGAGACTCTTATCTCTAGTTAACAACAAAAAACTAGAAGTGGATCTGTGGCTCAAGAGTTCAAGCACCAGGACCAGCACCCCGCCCCCCAAAAAAACAAAAAACAAGTCCCCTTTCCAGTGTCCCAGTGTGTCTGGCTTGTCAGAGTTGGGCAGGGCTGATCCTGAGAGTTCTGCAGCAGGCGGGGGAGGGGGGGTTCAAGCCATCAACCTCCCTGTAGCTTGCCCTAGAAAGAGGAGGCCCTGTCTTCCTCCTAGACCCCACTATTGCTGACCTAGTGGGCACTGTGGAGCCAGGATGTGGGTTCAAAGCCCACCTGATTTCACACAGGTAACACAGCCCTCCCTTAGAATGCTTGGCTTCATCCTGCCCTTTGCCAGCATTGGCATCAAAGATGCCTTTGTATGTGAGGGAGCCCTTTGGGAGAAGGCAGGCCCAGGAGTCATGGGTGGTATAGAGGGCATCAGGCCAAAGGGCTGATAAGGGTCTTGAAGTACTTGGACTTTCCTCTTCTTTCCTCTTCCTCCTCCTCCTCTTCCTTCTCTCTGCCCATTGTCCTGGCATCTTCCCCTGACCTGACTCTATGGGCTATACTTAAGAACTGAGCAGTAGGGCTGGGAAGGTGGCTCAGTGGTAGAGTGCTTGCCTTGCATGCCTGAGGCCCTGGGTTCGACTCCTCAGCACCACATAAGCAAAAAGAAAAAAGCCGGAAGTGGCACTGTGGCTCAAGTGGTAGAGCGCTAGCCTTGAGCTGAAGAGCTGAGGGACAGCACCCAGGCCCAGAGTTCAGGCCCCACGACCGGACCCAAAAAAAAAAAAAAAAAAGAACTGAGCAGTAGCCAGGAGCCGGTGGCTCACACCTGTAATCCTAACTACTCACAAGGCTGAGATCTGAGGATTGCAGTTCAAAGCCAGCCTGGGCAGGAAAGTTCGGGAGATTCTTACCTCCAATAAACCACCAGAAAACCAGAAGTGGTGCTCTGGCTCAAGTGGTAGAGCACTCGCCTTGAGCTGAAGAGTTGAGGGACAGCGCCCAGGCCCAGATTTCAAGCGCCATGGTAGTTTCCCATGAGGCCATGGCCTTTGCACAATGGTCCAGATGTGTCGGGGAGCAGATCATCAGGAGCCTTGACCACGTGGGTCCTCCACATGGTCAGGAGGGGAGGGCCTTTGCCTCTGACTTGTGCACCGTACCACCTGTTCACTGTGGAACGATGCAGACACCGCCAAGCAGACGCAGGATGGACACGATCAGGCTTGTAGGGAGCCAGTGGCAAGGGCAGTGCACATGCAGACGTTGAGGAACAAGTGGGGCCCAGGCCACCAGGAGGTCATAGGTGAGCAGAGCGGGAGGGGAGGGCCCATGATGGATGCACTGGGATGGGTGGGATGTGGCCAGGTAGGAGAGCCATGTGAGGCTGAGCACACTGCTAGAGGTACATTCCAGACCTTCAGCCCCTGGACAGACAGGACTCCTGGAGTGAGTCCACTTCGGGCACCCAATGAATGTCAAGCCCCCCTTCTCTGTGTGGCTCAGTGGAGTGTCTAGCAGATGTCTCTGGGAGTTTCTGCCCATTGAGCAGTAGGGTTGATCCTAAGTGGACAGCGGACCAGCTGAGACCATGCCTCTTCCTGGGTACTGCCTCTGGCCTCCTTGCTAGCAAGCAGCGGGTGGGCCTGCTAAGGCTCATGCTTTGCTTTCTTTCAGGATGAAGCCTCTGGTGTCTGCTCAGCCCACTAAGAAGGCAGCCATAGGAGAGGTGTGTTGTCCTGCACAGCTGCATTGGGGCCTTAGGAACAGTGGGTCACAGTCAGGCCTTGCAAAGAGGTACCCATGGACAGCACTTCCTGTGCTGGCCTAGCAACAGCAGGGACTCCTACAGCCCAGGATGCAGCAGAGCAAGGGGATGATGAGGCCAAGTGTGAGCCGGTCAGGCGGGGTGAGAACCCAGCTACTGGCCGGCCATAGGGTCCTTACCGGCTAGAGGACAGGCAGACTGAACGGCTCATGTGTGGGGCGGGCTCAGCCTGACAGTGCCCTGGGAGGGGTCAGGAGGAGAGGGGGACACTGGCCAGCTCATGTGTGGGGCGGGCCCAGCCTGACAGTGCCCTGGGAGGGGTCAGGAGGACAGGGTAAGCTCCACTCACATCTCAGCACATCATCCTTTATCTCCAGGCCTTGCTCCCAAACTCCCCTGCGCTCGGAGCGGAGCCTGTCAGGCCCTCGGCTGTCCTGGTGGAGAGCGGCCCTGTGTCGTACCACCCTGATGAGGAGGCAGACGAGGAAGAGGCAGACGAGGAGGATGGAGAGCCCTGTGTCAGTGCCCTGCAGATGATGGGCAGCAATGGTGGGTGTGGCTCCACCTGGCTGGTGGGCCTGACGTAGGACTGGGGGCAGATGGGGCCCTTCTAGAGAAGTAAAGCACATACTACCCTTGATCATGCTTGAACTCAAGCCTATTGACTTCAAACTAAAGTCTTCTGTAAAGGAAAGAAATTTGAACTAAAGCACCATAAAGTGGCCATGTTGATTCTGAGTCCTAGGGTCCGGGAGGCCCACTCCGTGGGGGTGGGGAGGTTCCCACTGAGGGCTGTAGGTTCTGGGCTTGCTCAGAGTCAGTAGGACAGCTGTTCAGCAGGTGAGGATCCCATAGACAGATGCAGACATGTGCTCACGACGGTGGGGTGAGGTGGCCACATTGTTCCCTGTGTTCCAGTACAGAGCCGAGGCCCCATGCTGGGTGCACACCAAATGCACGAACCCTATGGGGCCCCTGTTGGTGAAGGGCCAGTGTGACCAGGCAGCAGGGCCTCAAGAAAGGGCAGCAGAGCCTCTAGACTTCCATGATGATCCTGTGCTTTGCAGATTATGGCTGTGATGCTGATGACGACGATGGCTACTGAACACAACCTATACACCAGGCGGAGTCCTGGCGCTGGATCTGGAAAGAGCCTATACACCAGGCGGAGTCCTGGCGCTGGACCTGGAAACACAACCTATACTCTGGGCTGCGTCCTCGTGCTGGACCTGGAAACACAATCTCTACACCAGGGGGAGTCCTGGCGCTGGACTTTGAATATGTCTGTTGGGGTCAGGGCCTGGGGCCATGGTTCACAGGTGTGAACACCAAGTCTCAGGTCCAGCTGAGCTCTGTCCCACTGGCTTTGAAGTTATCTACAGCCACATGTGGCCTCCGGGGTACCTGCTGTGGGGGTCAGTTTTGAACAATGTAAGAAATATTTTTACCCAGAGCAAGGGAAACTGCATGTGTCTGATCAGATATGCCAGCAGTGCCCAGGCCTGGGTCCCACAGCAGGGCTCAGCCATGGCCCACCTGAGAACCCTCCAAGGTAGGCACTGTTAGAGAAAATGTGGAGCCCTGCCCAAGCACTGTGCCCCATCTCCTCCAGCTCTTCTGATAGCGCTTGGAATCTGGGCAGGCAGCAGAAAGAGATTTCATAGGTGGCTACATCAGCCTAGAGCTGCAGTCTTCAGCTCCCGCCAGGTGGGCACAGCTCCCCACCTCCTCAGCCCCTCTGTGCCGGCACCTGGGGCCACGCAGGCCTCCGCCTCCCACTCTGGGACCTAGCCGATCAGTCAGGTTCATCTGGTTGCACTTAGTAGACTGAGGCTGTGTACCCCCTGCTCCAGAGTGTGGGTACTGCTGGTGTCAGCCTCAGGCAGGGGGGTCCCGAGTGCCAGCCTGACCCCTCCCATCACAGGGAATGAGACTTGAGAGCCTTTGCAGCTCCTGTCTGCTTCAGCGTCTGTGCACAGAGAGCAGGCAGGAAGTCCTCCATCTGCCCAGGGGTCTTGGCCCCTCACAGGAAGAACCCATTGGCAGGTCTTTCAGCCCAGTCGCCCTTTCCTGTGCACCAGACAGGCCCTTAGGGCTGGGCCTGAATTCACCCCGCCCTCAAGGTGACTGCCACACAGCTGCGCCATACCACCTTCCCCAGCCCAGTTTCTACCTAGGTGAGGAGAGCTGGGTCTCTCATACTCATTAGCGTCAAAGTCTAAACACCAGGTTCTGTCCACTGCAGCTACTTGGGGGGCCTTTGAGTCTGTAGCCACTTCCTTCAAGCCTAGGTAGGAGGCTGAGGCGCTGGTCCAGAAAGGCACACACCATCACCCAAACAAGAACTGGCGAGGCAGCTGGTGTGTCTGGCTCCATGACCCTCTGGCTGGGCACAGGATGCCCTGGCAGGCCGGGCTCTGAGCTCGGCATTCTTGGCCTGTAGACACCACGGACAACCTGCTGGGTCCTTCCCGACGCGCCCACTGCCTGCTTTACAGCCACCCTGCCCACGGGAAGCTCCCGGGCTCCCTGGGGTGAGGCAGGGATCTCCATGCAGGTGTTGGGTCAGGAGCTGGGGCTTACGTGGGACAGAGTAGACTGCTCCTGACCTGCCCTTCAGGGCGTGGCAGGTTGCAGGAACCAGGCCAGAGATTATTGGGCTGGGCTTGGGGACTTAGCTGAACTGGGGTGGGCTTGACGCAAGGCTGACAAAATGCCTCCTCAAGTATAGGGCATGTGGAAGCCAGAATCAAGGACCCACTGGGGTTGTGACCCCAGCCAAGGGACAGTGTGAGGGACCCCCCAGGCAGAGGTGAGGCCACAGCTGTGGGAAGGGGTGCAGCACAGCTGGCTGCTTTTGGGGAGACTGGAGGACTCCCCAGCAGAGCAGGGGTGGGAGCCAGGCAGGAGGGGCCTTCAGGTGTTGAACATTGAAGGGCCTGATTAGGGGAGTTGGCCAAGGAGCAGGAGGCGAAAACCTGTGGGAGTGGGGCGCAGCGCCCCTGGGACAGCGCAGCGCGGTAGGCAGTTCCCAGACTCAGTAAGTGGCAGCAGAGCCTGAGTGTGGTCTGGAGTCAGGCCCTGCGGGGCTGAGATGGGGTGGAGACACCGGCGTGAGGCCTGGCCCAGAGGACACGGTGCTACACTCACCAGAGCGTCTCCCGCAGGGGCAGCCAGTCTGGGCATCAGCAGTGGGGTCCACAGGGGCATTGGAGCCTGCACTGCCATCTGCAGGCCATGTGGGGCCGTGTCTGCATGCCGCGTCCTGAGCCTGCAGGGAAACCTGGCTCCCAGCTGCATTGTGCCTTGCCCTGAACCCGCTCAGTGCCTGCTCCAGTGCCCTGCCAGGCCTTGCCCCTTTAGGATTGGTCCCCAGATGAGACCCCCCCCCGGGCCTTAGGGAGCGAGGGGAGACAGGGCTTCAGCTGTGTCCAGCCCCCAGACCAGAGCCTCCAGGCCTTGGGGAGCCAGGGCCCCCGGGCCTTAGGGAGCGAGGGGAGCCAGAGCCCCCAGGCCTTAGGGAGCGAGGGGAGCCAGGGCCCCCGGGCCTTAGGGAGCGAGGGGAGCCAGGGCCCCCGGGCCTTAGGGAGCCCAGACCAGAGCCTCCAGGCCTTGGGGAGCCAGGGCCCCCGGGCCTTAGGGAGCGAGGGGAGCCAGAGCCCCCGGGCCTTAGGGAGCGAGGGGAGCCAGGGCCCCCGGGCCTTAGGGAGCGAGGGGAGCCAGGGCCCCCGGGCCTTAGGGAGCGAGGGGAGCCAGAGCCCCCGGGCCTTAGGGAGCCAGGGGAGCCAGAGCCCCCGGGCCTTAGGGAGCCAGGGGAGCCAGAGCCCCCAGGCCTTAGGGAGCCAGGGGAGCCAGGGCTGTCAGCTGTGTCCAGTCCCCAGACCAGAGCCCCCAGGCCTTAGGGAGCGAGGGGATCCAGAGCCCCTGGGAATTAGGGAGTGAGGGGAGCCAGGGCCCCCGGGCCTTAGGGAGCGAGGGGAGCCAGGGCTGTCAGCTGTGTCTGTTTCCTGCTCTGCCTCCCAGTCGGCCCCTAGGATGTTGAGTTCCATGTTGGGCCCCTGGTAGGTGTGCACATGTGAGTGCCACCTCTGCCTTCTGCTTCCCGCCCTCCCCCCAAAGGTGGGGCGCAGGCTGCCTGGAGGTGCCATCCCGGATTCTCATCAGCTGGCTAGCTGAGGAAGCTGTACTATGTCATCTCTTAGAAATGGGGTAATAGCCATCAGGGTACCTAGTAACTCTATGCATGGGGCCCAGGCATGTGCCCACTTTATTTTTGTGCCAGTTCTGGGTCTTGGACTCAGACTTGGCTCAAGACTGGTGCTCTACCACTTGACCCACCTCCACTTCTGGCTTTTTGCTAGGTAATTGGAGGTAAGTCTCCACCTGGAGCTAGCTTCAGACTTGAGGCCCCAGGTCTGTCTGCTGTAGCTGGGGGGTGGGTGGTGCTGTGTGATACCCAGCAGCCTGTGGCTGCCCCTCTGGGCTGTCAGGCCTGGCCAAGCCTGGTCCATTCCTGGGCCAGCTGCTTTGTGCCCAGCTGTGCTCCCACTTGGAGGCCCCTTGGGAGGTGCAAAGGTCAGTCAGACCTAGCTGGGAGGTTGGACCAGAGAGCCAAGGGGCTCCATCTGTCTCTGCACCCTGCCTTTGCCTGGAGCCCCCTCCCCACCATCATGGGCCCTGGGCACAATGGCCAGCTGGGTGGAGGAAGCAAGGGTGGACAGACCTTTGCTTCCTTGCAAAGGGCATATGTTAGCTTGGTGCCACGACACGGCTACCTCTAGACTGGCAGCTGGGGGTGAGGCGCCTGTGCCCTGGCGACACCCTGTTGGCTCAGAGCCTCTCCCTGAGGCTCACCTCTGGGAGGTGCAGGGGTTGAAGAAAATGGGGGGAGTGGCTAACACCCTCTTCTAGGCTTCCTTGTGTTTTACAGACACCCTGGAGCCTACCTGCACTGACCAGCAACTGTGGTCAGGATCAGGGGTTGTGTCGTGGGAAGCCAGGGAAAAGCAGACAACCTCTGAGACACACTAAGCCCTCTCTTGCAGACCTCCTGCAGAGCTAGAGTTTGCCCCCTCTTCTGTAAGCTCCGGGTAGGATTTCATCCAAACTGGACATTGATTCCATACAGGCTGCACCCTCTCTGCCGCACACACGCGCACACACACACGCACACACCCCGCCCCGTCTCTTTGGAGCAAGCCCTCTTAAGGCTTTGGAGACTGGCCTGTGGTGGGTCAGGTTTGTGCCTATGAATCACGAGTCCTCTAGAGGGTCTCATAGGCATGAGAGCATCATGGCCACAGACGTCTGCCAGCTGTGTACACCCGCAGTGGTCTGACGGCAGCAGTCTGTTACCCCCAGCCAGGAAGAGCACAGCGGAGAGCCATGGTCATCCCCACGCCTCAGGCGAGGTCCCCTGGTGTGTAGGAGGTGTCCCAGGTGTGGCAGACCCAGCACCAGCCAGGGTGGATGTGGAGGGGGCTGTGTCTGCCTTTGCTGCCTTCTGCTGCCCCTTTGTCCTAGAGGGGTGCGGGCTCCCCAGCCTGCCCTGGAGGCCTGTGTGGGTGCAGCCCCCGAGGTGTCTGGCTGGCACAGAGCGTCTCCATGCCTGAGGGGCGGTGCCCAGGACTCACGGTCCTAGCCAGGGACAGGGAAAGCGCAGGACACAGCCTGGGGCATTCTGGAGGAAGTAACATGCTCCCCAGATCTGGCACCGGGCCCTGACGCCTGTCCATCCATGTTGGTGGCATGTGCTTACACTTGTGCCCTGGATAGTGACAAAGAATGGGTTGCCCCTGGAGTTCTGGCCCACGTGGGGTTCAGTGCTATGTGCCAGGTCCTCTGTGGGGCCAAAGCCCTCAGCCAAAAGGCCCATCTGCTCTCTCCTAGACCAGCACTACGCTGGACTGGTGAGGTCGAGGTCAGAGTACAGTGGGAGAGCCCTGCCCTCCATCCTGCCACCCAGATTCACAGGCAACTTCCTACCCTCTACCAAGTCCCACTGACCCTTGCCAGCATGCCACAGGAGATACCTGGGAGGCGATGGGCCCACTGGGGAACAGTGCACACAGGTGAGCCTGCAGGCGCTCTGCGTGCACTTCCATCCACTGGTGGCCAGCTCTCCACGCGCACCTCACCTGGGTGCACGGCTCCCCAGGCCTTTCTGCTGCTCCCTTGTCCTCTGGTGACTGCCACCGTGTCCCAGCCCCCAAGGCTGGACTGGAAAGCCAAGTGGCAGACTGGCCACCAGGCCCCCACCCTCAGGCTTCTGTGGCCTGCTGGGAGTTCTGGAGTCGAAGCCAGAGCTCCCACAGTCGGGGTTAGAGGGCACTCCACACCACCGGTGTGAATGGCTGGCCCCGTGCTCTGCCCTCTGGTGGCCATCCATGGTGTGGCCTAGGCCCAGCTAAGGACAGAGCCAAGGCTGAGACCTGGCTTGACACCAACGCCCA